GTTTTTTTTTGCTTTCCGTCACTCTCTATTGTATATTTCGCGCCAAATTATATGACTCTAAAGCTAATAACACAGGCCTGCGATGGTTTTATTGTCTTGAAATTTTTATATCGGGTCACATTTTGTTATGTTTAAAATGTTGACAACCACTAGCTATAGATTTCTTTTGACCAATCGCGACGCGAGAGTCTTATCGATCGTTCTAGAACACACTGTTACATATTACAATTTCTAATAGCTTGAAAGTGACTTATATTGTAATTTATATTTAAAAGTTAAATAAATGCCGATATGTATCCAATTTATGATATTTTCCAACAAGATTGATACACACAGTTTCTTTTTTTAATAGAAATATGTTTTAATATATAAACAACAATACAATTTACAATAACAGTTATTACAAATAGTTATTACACACAATGATTTAAATACAAAAGTTTTACACGCTTGCAAGTAATATAAAGTCTTCTTTCTGGTCTGGAACTTCCTTGATATCTTATCTAGGGTTCACAATGAGCGAGTTAATTTCGAGTTGACGTAGGTATAATTCACTTCATAGGGAGCTAACTAGCTCTGTAGTTTTCACTGATCACACGCCGATTACAGGTCGAGTTTCTTTTACCGCTGAAGTTATATAATATCTTCGTAAAAGTACTAATATCCGATATGAATCTACTAAAGTTAAATAGTTTATAGTGTTCAAAATTTATAAATGTTCCTGGTCAATATATCTGAAGTTCCCGATTAATAAGCGTTAATCACAGTTATAACTTACGAAGTTTATAGTACACCAATTATAGCAACCCAGTAATAGATACTTTTTTTGGCGCGTCGCGTGGGTTATATTTATAGGTGTGTGGAGAGTTTCTCGAAATTTCAGTTTTACTTAACAATACTGACGCTAATACTAGCGTTCACGTATACACATATAATATTGATTTTTACACTCGAGAATCTTCTACAACTTTAGAGAATTCGCGGGAGTTTCGCGATACATACTTAACTGTATAAGTTATTTACATTTCTAAATATAAATTTAATATAAACAAACATTGATATTAAAATAAATGTATAATAATAAATCCGTATATGGTTAACAGGCCGTATGACGTGTCATTTCTGGATAGTATTTGTTTGTGAGTACACTTTGACATTATTTTTTTCTTTTCAATATTATTTATTCGTCTCTATGACAACAAGAGGTTGTGTAAATGACCCAAACATATTCTGTTATATTTGTGGTAAATTTGTTGTAAATTTGATCTAAGTAAGAGTTTTTTTCCGATTTGTAAAAAATCCTTACATGACAGAAAAAATCTGCGTAGTTGAAATATGGAAGATCCGTTATTAAAACCAAAACAACTTTTATGAAGTTTAAATTCGCAGGCCTGCGTTATTCATACAAGCTGCAAACTCTTCGCGACGAATCTATGTATATATATATGTATGTATGTATATATATCGAATGTTCATTTGAAAATACAATTTCCCAAACAATTCTTTTATGCAGTTTAAGGTTATGTTTCTAGTAACAATTTGTAAGAAGAATGAATAATGGGAGTATTTACTGAAACGTCATAAGTTTAAAAATTACTTTGGTTTTAGATCCTGAATCCTGATGTACAAAAAAAAGATTTGAAGCGGATAAGTGTTTAAAGTGCACTTCACAGAAAAACATTTCCTCGAATAAACAGACATCGTGAGGACCTGCGGAAAGTAATAATAACTGTTCCGATTTAAGGCTTTTGAGCAACTAATATGATATGTTAAAATGTTTTTGAAACTTAAGCCTTTTTTCTTTATTATTTTATTAGAGATATTCGAGATCGTTCAGTACTTCGTATCTATGAACAGAACCGCAACGAAGGGGATGGATTCAGCACCTGTGATCAGGAACTAAGTTACTTCTCAGAGCCAGAGTTTGATTCAGAGTATCAACATCAACACATTCACCGAGCAAAGGTAGGATAATGTTCTATAAATGTGAATGAAAATGAGAGGAATAAACTAATGTATATCATCGTTTAGGAGAGTAAATAAAGGTTAGTCTGCTCTAACGATAATCCAAATAGCTAATTAAGCAGTTGTATTCATGATTCATCCGTCCTGGCTAAGTTTTAAGTGATGGTCTTTTTGTTGCATATCTTGAATAAGTGCTGAGGAGGTATATACTAAACTGGGCTTTAGATTTTATCTTATACATATAAATAAACAGAGAACGTTTCGGTTCAAATATAATTCTACGTATGACAGCAATTCTAGTTAGATCACAGGTAATCTTCTTATAGTACAATTCACTGGGGGACATTTTTACTGAGAAATATTATAGATTAAAAGCAAACGCCATTATTTAAACATGAAAGAACTCTGGATATTTTGAACGTGGTAAACATACATAAAACACTTCTTCATGAAAGGATTGGTTGTTTTAAGTTAAGCACAAAGCTACACAATGGGCTATCAATGGCTATCGATACCCACCACGGGTATCGAAACCCGGATTCCAGCGTTGTAAGTCCGCAGACATACCGCTGTGCTACTGGGGGGCTCAAGAAAGGAACAAACTTGTATAGAAAGTTCTACAAGACGAAATGGAACTAATAAAAGTCAAATATGTTGAAACTAGAAAAAGTAATATACTACTCATTATCTGGTTATACACAACACTAATTTCTTTCGTACTTGATTAGACAGAAGATTTACAGGCGAAGTAGTATAGCAAACCCCACTAAAGAAAAGCACCAGGTATTGTCTGATCTTATTGTGTTTCCTGTCTGGTTAAACTTATTAATTTAACCAATAGTTTCATATGGTTGTAATCTTACTGTGACTTACTCATGGGCATGACCTAGTGATTAGGGTGCTCAATTCAGCCGGATGGGGGGGGGGAGGTATAATGTGACGGTCAATCATTCGATTGTAAAGAGTAGCCCGAGAGTTTGTGGCAGTGCGTGTGATGTTGACTAGCTGCTTTTCATCTAGTCTCTCACTCCAAAATTACGGGGCCCGGCATGGCCAGGTGGTTAGGGCGCTTGACTCGCAATCTGAGGGTAGCGGGTTCGAATCCCCGTCCCACCAACCATGCTCGCCGTTTCAGCCGTGGGGGCGTTATAATGAGACGGTCAATCCTACTATTCGTTGGTAAAATAGAAGCCGAAGAGTCTAACACTGCTAAATTAAGGACGACTAGCGCAGATAGCTCTCGTGTAGGTTTGCGCGAAATTCAAAACAAACCAAACCAAAACTAGGGACAGCCAGAGCAGTATGTCTGCGGACTTACAACGCTAGAAACCGGGCAGAGCACAAATAGCCCAATGTGTAGCTTTGTGCTTATCTACAAACAAACAAAACTTCGCGCGAAATTCAATAACAAGCAAATGTAATTTCATTAATATTGTTAGTTATAATTCTTGACATAATGTTCATTATTATTGATTTGTTATTATTACATCTATACACTTCAAAGTATGTTGAATCTTTCGCTAAACAAAAGGTTTTAGGACTAACGTAAATCTCCTAAACTGCGTGAACCTCGTGAGATATTACTGGGCTAACAAACGTAATTGTAGTTGATAGCAAGAGCACTTAATTGACGATTCAGTTCATTTTAATCACCATATATGTTTTAGCGCTCTTTTTTGACGACTTAGGAGGTTACATAATTTTTTTTTCAATTTGTTATGTTTATAAGTTACTTTTTACGTCTTTGTAGCTCACGTTTGACCAGAAGCAGTAATTAGGTTTCGATGTAGATAAATCATTATATACGCAATTTTATTTCAATAATTTACTGATTTTTGCTTAAACTACTTCTCGAAACCGTGTTATATTTTGTTCCCTATTAGTATTGTAATTAGGAAAATATATAACAAAATAAAAGCCTAATAATCTAATAACTCCTATTCTTCTATTCGCCCCTTTTATCTGTATTTGAATATAAAAGTTAGCAACCTAGCACAATTAAATAAAATCTTTAGTTTATGGGTATAAACAAAATTAATTAATTACGTGCACTTTCTCATTTATTTTATTGAAAACTTTTATCTTATTTTAGAAGATTGTCGATTATATAAATTGTTAATTAATATTACTTCTTAGGAGAGCGGTTGATGATATAATTAGTTGGCAAAAAAAACGATTTATAAGCATAATGAAGTGATTTATTTTCGGCGAAACATGCTACGTATTTCGACAGAACAGAAGAAGAAGAAGACAGACCAATGTTCTGTGGAAATATTTAGCATGTTCCCCCCAAAATAAATCACTTCATTACTGTTATAAAGAGTTGTTTGCTAACTTGTTATCATATTAGCATAATGTACTTCCTTATTCAAACGTTTCATATTTCGTTTTCAAATGTTCTTCGAAATTATTTTATTTAAGAACTCGAACTGAATGTTTTTTTTTTTCATTTATAGTCCGGACAGATTCTTTGTAAAACGTTGCGCAAATAATCTGAAAAAATAGTGTAGAACTTAGGTTTTTAGGAGATTTACAAATATAAAAAACTACCGAGAAGTATGAAAATAACTATATTTATATAGCTTATATATAAAATATATTCCACGCAGTTTCTAAAATCAATAAAAAACATCAATATATGATTTAATTAAATGAGTAAACTTTTGAGCTATATCTTACGACGAATAAATATAAATTCTAATAAAAGAGTTAACACACAGAATTGCACATAAAAAGTACACTGAATTTCAACAAAAGATAGAAAATTCGAGCTCTTTTGAATAGTAGACTATATATAAGAATTCGAAAGTAGTGCTAAAATTTTGGGTCTTTTAGATAAATTTATTTTGAATTTCGCGCAAAGCTACACGAGAGCTATTTGCGCTAGCTGTCCCTAATTTAGCAGTGAAAGACTAGAGGAAAATTAGCTAGTCACCAACACTTGGGCTACTCTTTTACCAACGAATAGGGCTGGAAGGGCTCGAATAATCCAAAATCGTAATTACAATTTATAGGGAAATAAACGTAGTGGGCCCAATTCCTTTTTATTCTGGGGGGGGGGGGAGTATTTTTTTGTAGTAACGCCACTGCTTGTAGATTACAGTAGTTTCAAACAACATTCATTTTGTTTTATTTCAGGTAATATCTGCTGGTTTTCCCATATAATAAAAGTGTATAAGTGAGAGCTCCTGAAAAATAGCTTCTCGAGCTATCAGTTCTTTACCAGGCGATCGAGAATACGTTTCGACATAATCTTGCTTTTCTTATTCGAAAGTAACCTGTTCTAAAATCAGTTTTTGTTCTGCTATACTTCATTTTTTTTTTCATTTTTGACATTTTGAACTTCTAAAATTTTGCTGGTATAAAGTTGAGACTATTGTATCTCAACAAGAAAACTGTAATGTACGTCTTATCTAGTTCAATAATTCAAAAATGTCAGCTAAATTCATCACTAAAATATGTTTAAATGCGGAGAAAATACTCCAGCAGTTTCTCCAAAAACTACTTAAAATTGTGTGTTGATCAAAGACTATTGAGTAAATAAATATTTTAATTCTTAATCACAAATATCTCTTGTAACAAATATAACAAACATTTATGGATCTTTTCTGTTTTATGCACCGTGTTCGAATAGAAAAAAACAACAACATATATTTTTCACTGTAGTTTTTAATGCTGATTTCAGAAATATAAATGAAAATTTGGAGAAATGAAAATAAATATTTTTTTGTATATTGTTTGTAATTTTGTTTACGAAACAAAGGAAGTACTTTTAACGTTACATATATATCCATGTATTTAAAATACAATACAAAGTATCCAGTGACAACGTAACAAATTCAATTTGTAAATTCAGAAATATTCTTAACTATTTGCTTGAAGAGATCACCATTTTCATGCCTACGACGCCAAACGAACTCGCAGATATACGAGTCAATCATGTTACGATTGTTTCCACAATGTCGCTTGTTACATCTCTTAACCACATTCCAAGTATTAGGTTGTCAAGAAATTAATGTCGCTTTTTTTAGATGAAAAACCCGAACAACTTGTATATCAAAACAAAACATTTATTAAACGAAATGGT